ACCGAACGAAGATCAGGGATGCCGTTGATTACGCCAAGTAATCGAAGATCATGTGAGCCAGGCACGTTATGCGATATAGTGATGACCGTTGGACCAGGGCGGTTACTGAATGGATCCCTCGGGACATCAAACGAACTCCAGGAAGGCCGCCAACGAGATGGTCAGACTTCTTCACGAAAGCTCTGAACGAAAGGAATGTTGAACCTCGTGTCCCTGAAGCGAGAACGTTTCACTGGACCACTCTGGCTCGTGACAGGGACGAATGGAGACGTTACTGGCGCCCGCTCGAGGAAATCGATGATCAACGGGACGACAGGTGATACAGGTGATTACAATCAATAATTAATTATTTTGTTATTCCATAATAGTTAATTTTCATTTAGGTTTTTTTTCATATAAACGTAGTTTTCTTCTTTTCATATTTGAAACAAGCACGCTTTTCGACCATAACAACAACTTAACCGTGTGGAGTACCGTGAAAGGAGTACAGCTTCTGCTGTTTCAATCAATACCCATGTTCATCACTGTAGCTATGTTCCCTAAGTAGGAATAAAAGTAAACATGCAGATTTTGCATATTTTCTACTTCACTCGCAGCGAAAGGTCGAGTGGGATCTCCAAAAATATGAATCTGGGAAGTCATAATCACTGAAAACAGTTTATTTCTAACTGAATTTCAAATGTAACGGTACAAAAAGCTGATTCAGCTAAATATGCCAATGAGTAAGACGAAATGAGTTTGAACAAACAATTTGAGAAGCTTTTAAAATTAAGTTAATGTTTACAGAACAGCACGATATCTGTTCGTATGTTACAAGAACATCAACACAACAAAACAACACAAATGACCACTACCCACATCACAATCTCAACAGCAGATCTTCTTAGGGGATTTTCTTCATAAGAAGTCATTACCACGTTCTTGTACACAACAAATAACTAAGAACTAAAAATTCTAAACAACTAAGTTGCAAAATTACCATTGAAATAAACAAAGTATTTTGCGAGTACAACGTAATCTGGTGGGCAGGGTGATGACACAAACAATTACGCTGTGAAAGCTCAAAACCAAAACTGAACTACTCTAGAGTACCTAGACGAATAAAAATCACAAAAAATACCAAATATCAATTGGTTTTTTCTCAATAATGGTTACCGGTTGAGAATTTATGGCGCAAATAGGAAAGATTCTCAGTCTAAGAAGTGATATAACCATCAATAATTGAGTTCACCGTTTTTCACAATTGAGAACACCGGATTGATCACAAACACCGTCAAAAAGTGACTGTGAAAGTGGCAACGATAACAGAAGAAAAAACTAAGCTCGAAAATATCCCGTGTGAGAAAAAGTTTTCAATAAACTCTGAGAAAACTGAAATATCAAAGGCAAGAACGGACATCTGGTGTACAAATAGGATTACTAAGGTCTTGGTGTGCATGTCGTGTATCTGTTGACCAGATCTGCTTCGGCATCTGAAGCTTCTGAAGCGTCGTTGAAATCGGACTGTGACAACTCATTATCAGCATCTGATTCTGCAAAGTAGACATTTAAACAATAAAGGTTTCAGGAATCATCCTGGAACCCTGCAAAACATGCTGCGGATTCCTTTTCCATTCGGTATAGCCCTCCCATGCGGTCGCATATCCGACTTAAGAAGTGACTCTAGGGGAAGGCTATGAAGCGACTTACGAGTAAAGCTGTCACCGCTTTTTCCAAAATGTCAACTGACGAATAGCCGTAAAAGACATCAACAAAAAACTGCTCGCCGACAGATTAGCGAACGCTCCATCAAAATGAAAGAAGTTTAAACTCACGATCAAAGAAGTCGAGGTCTTCAAATACATCGTCGACCTGATCATAGGCGCTCATCGAATGTCGCAGTACAGGCCGGACAGTAGGAATCTTCGAAAGAGCTGCGGCCAAATCAGTGAAGGACGAGGAACGCTCCATCAAAGGTGCTCGCTGAAAAAGAGTCTGAGGACTTCGACACAATTCTGAGACACTTTAAACCGCCACGAAAACTGTTCTAAGAAAATAGTTTACTATCTTTTCTCTAAAAAGGCACCAATTAACAACAAGACACAACCGGTACTGCATCCTGTGAATACTTGAAATCATGGATTCACGAACCTTTGTCTTACTGACTTGTCGATGCAGTCGATGTGTGTTGCCACCAATCAGCAATGTGTTGAATTCATCAGTATCCATCAATGTTTCAATCTTATCCTTGCCATATTCATATCCGATAGCCTGTAAATAAAATGATATGAACTCGATTTCACAATTTCACTTCCTAATGCAGCCACAAACAACGCCGTATCCATACTTTACCATCATAAGTTACATTCGATTCAGAAAGGGGAGGGATAGAGGAACGGGACTTAAGTATATCATTTAGGAAGCGCTGGGCAATTAGTTCGACTCAAAAAAGTAAAGACAAACAATTAGAAGTATGCTACTAATTGACCTCAAAGAGGGCTATCAAGGCCGTGAAAAAGTTATTTTTTAGGGTTCAGGCACGGTTTATTCCCTTACAACAAAGTTTCCTAAGCGAGAGTGGCCTGCTAGATGAACTCTAGAGAAGGTGAGGAAAAGTTCCTCTACACAGCATGTGGTCATGTAGGACATGAGTCCACGTTTTTCATGGAAATCCGATTATTTTCACCTCAAGAAGTACCCTCGTGTTGGAGCCACACTCAGCATAACCAGCTACTACAATAAGTCAGATGAATCGATACTTTGACGGAAGCATGGAAAAGTAGAAATTCAGGGACGTCGTTATCCTCACACAATAAACTTCCGCCACGAATGAAACCGTGCAGGGTAATATCAAAGAGTATTATTCAAATACCGATAAGTGAGCAAACTTACAAGAATCTCGTCAAATTTGTTGAATTCCAACGTTTTGAATGGTTCAATAGCTGGTCGGAAGTAGCTACAGTAGGGCGCCTTCTTCACAATTTCCAACTGACGGACACACGATACATAGGCTAATCGAGTCTAAACAGGATAGTCATTAATTTACAGATAGTTTCTAACCATCTAAACAGCATAGTCATCAATTTACAGATAGTTTCTAAACAATCTAAGACTCTGAGAAGCATTACCTGAATCTCTTCCATGTTCAGAATTCGGATTGGATCTGCCCACGGATTTAGCCTTTTCATCAGCACCCATAAACCGTTCAAGGAGTCACCATAATTGTACAGATTTGTCTCTTCTGATGCACCAACGTCAACAGCGATCACACGTTTCGCACCCATAGATCTAACAAAACAGTGAGCTCACGTCCACTAAAAATTGGTATCGAAAGGATAACAAAGCCGGGTGGTGGGTACATGGGAGAGGCGGAAGAGGATGAGACTTACATAAAGAAGGATGCGAACCTAAACCTAGTCCGATGATTTGGGGCGCCTCCGTAACAGGAGTGGGTTCGTGAATGCCAAAAGATGAGTGTAATACTAGGATATACTGTATTGAAGTTTCCCTGGCGAAGAGACAGCAACAAAAATCAACCAGCTAGCAAATTGGGCGGTGCTCGCGCATTACTTGAGTTGTGAAAAACTAGTCAAGACCGGATTTATGCTCTTGTGGCCTAGAAGAGGCATGCGGCTACTTACCAGGGAAGGATCCCAAGTCGAAGTGGCCATTCGAAATGAGACCTACACTGCTGGACGTGTTTTTGGATGCTGAGTTCGAATATGCTTTCCAAATTTGCCGAGCGTTTTTGTGAACGGAGTTATGAGGGTAGTTTCAGGGAGCTTAACATAAGAAAACTTAAATTACATGGATGCGCCTT